TTTTCATTTTCTGATGCAATCGGCTGACAATCTTCCTTCATCAGTTTTTGTCCTTTGTGCAGCGGCTGCGGTTCCAGGAATGTAGCAAATTTATGTTGTAATAATAATTAAACAAAACTCTTGACTTTAAATAAGTAAACAGTTATAAACAGTTAGCTATTTAAGCATCAAGAAGGTTAAACATAAACGCTGTAGGGCAACATCGGTTAACAACATGTATGCTACATTGAGATTCGATCCGAGTCGATTGAAGCTCCTCGAAGCTCGTGTTGTTGCGTTAACCACTGAGCTATCGTCTATACGTCTGTGACTGTTTTTATTGCAATGTTTTACTTTTTCATTATTTATTCAATTTCATTTCAGTAGCCTAATTTCAGTATTGTGATTATGAATTATTTTAACTACGTTTCACTTGTTGAATTCTTCTGCTACCAGCTTTCAAACGCTCTGAATCAGTGCGGTGCGGCAGCAGATTACGCATTAGAGAGAATAAACAAACACTTTTCAGAGTCTATGATTGTAGCGCCTCTTGGCGGTAAAAGGCAGCAAATACACCCCACATTTTACCGCCGCGGTGGAACGGCTGATGTGGGCGTTGTCATGGCTTGCCTCGACATTTGCGTTTGAATAGCGCGCGTCCTCCGTGGGCGTGTCAGATTAACGCGTAATGAAGTGTAATGAGCTGGGGAAAAAAAATCTGACAGCACTCTCTTTTCATACAGATTACATAAACTGAGAATATTTGTTTTTTATATAAATTACATCATTAAAAAGAAGAGAATTCAAGCTTCATAAAGAAAAACCTCTCGTGCCTGTATGACAAGTATTTGCAGAGTTAGAGTTAATTTTTCGGACGTGTTTCAGAATGGACTGCACTGACAGAGAGAAGGCAAAACTCGCATCATGTTTATTTTTCTTTATTTGACAAAAAGCACAAAACTTTGTTTTTATTGTGAGTATACAGAAAAATAATAGACAATTAACAGGATCGATTGATGTATAACACTTATATGTACGATCAAAATCAACAGAGTATTTTAAGTCTATTTTTCTGCTATGTGAAAAAAAAACGGCAAAACGCGCGGGCGCGTTTCTGGTCCCCAGAGGGTTAAAATTCTTTATTCTGCTTTAACATCTGGATTTTAATTGAATTTAATTTGGATAAATATGTATTTAGAAAATTAATCAAGTATTGTTACATCAATTTAAATAAATGATTAATTATTTAAATAAATTTGAATTTTACAAATTATTTTTGCATATCTAGTATGTACTAACATTTAAATGAATAGTTCGATACAATGCACTTATTGGGCCCTATTTTAACGATCTGAAACGCAAGTGTCAAAGCGTAAAGCGCAAGTAACTTTGTGGGCGGATCCCGGCGCTGTTGCTATTTTCCCGGCGGGATAAATGCCTCTTGCGCCTGGCGCAAATCTAAAAGGGGTTGGTCTGAAGTAGCTTCATTATTCATAGGTGTGGTTTGGGCGTAACGTGAAATAAACCAATCAGAGCGTCATCCAACATTCCCTTTAAGAGCAGGTGCGCTTGTTCTAAAGCGGATTCCTATTATAACGGCGGATTTGCCAGGCGCGCGACAGGAGCGGTTCACAGCCGAGGAGAGCAACGTTCTCGTCAGGGCCGTAAAACAGAGAAGTAACATTGGGGATGGAGAAACCCACCCAAATTAACTTCTGTTAAACAGGCGTATGATAATTTGGGTAAATGTGTAAGCTTCATGTATGCTTTTACAATAAATTATCTATCTATCTATCTATCTATCTATCTATCTATCTATCTATCTATCTATCTATCTATCTATCTATCTATCTATCTATCTATCTATCTATCTATCTATCTATCGTAATAATGTATGATTTGCAAAAATGAAAACTGCTGCTTAGATGAGAGAATCAAAGTGTATGCGCGTTGTGCACACGCTACATTGATTATGGCCAAGCATGCGCCCTTAAAATAGCATAATGAACAACGCGCAGCGCGCTACTGACTTTAGACTAGGTTTTTTCTGGTCAGTGGCGCAATTGTTTTATAGAACAGCAAAATAGCATGAGGGAAAGTTTGCGCCGGAACACGCCTCCTCTTTGCGCTGAACCGCCCCGGGGAGCGCAAGTGTATTTCTTAGTTAACCGACGTGTGTCTGTGGAGGGAAAAGTCCGCTTTGCACGGGTGCAAAATAGGAATGATACATGCATCAGTGTACAAAGTCATTTGCGCCGAGTGCAAGATAGGGCCCATTGTGTACATAGCTACATGTTTTTTTTGTTTTGTTTTTTACATTGTACTTATATTTTAAAATGCCTGTATGTAGTTAATTTATATAATCACATATATAATGACACACCTTACACCTTAACCCTACCCATACCACCCTGTCCCTGTACCCTTTCGGGTAACATTTTGGCATTATTACATTATTACTTTGTTTTACAGTGTCCTTGTTACACATTACATGCAGTGACTATAGTAATTACTAAAAATTGTGCATACTTACATCCCAGACAGCAATATAGTGTCGGGCCAAATCCGGCCCACATCTGGTACGTGTGGAATCTTGTATCAGCTATGGGATGGATTTGGGCCAACACTATGGGATGCAACTAACCCTAAACCAAACCCCAATCCTAACCTCAACCCTATAAAAAGTACATGCAGTTAATTCTTATTACTCAGTACTTTAATATACAATTACACTGCAAAAAAAAAAGGAACACAAGGACATTGTACCTAACAATTAACTTTCTTAATGCAAGTACATTAAAGATATCTAATATAAAGTTACTTATTTGATTCTATCTATTATCTTATAGTTTATTTTGAAAATTGTAAAAGTATTTTTTTTCGTCTGCTTTTGTAGGAAAAAGAAGCATTGGAGAAAAAGGTTTCAGACATGGAAGAAGAATTAAAGGTAAAAGGACAATTTCTATTACAGTAAATGTGGCTTTGCTGTATTATTCTGAGCCTGAAGTGGGGTGACTTTCGAGAGCATGTTAACCTCAAAATTGATAAGGACAGTTTGTTTGAATTAACTGATGAAAAGGTCAGATCCCTCGTAGTTTAACAGCTAATGTATCAACCATGCCTGTTTTAACCCATGTTAGCCAACTCTGCCGCCACCATGCTTGCCACTAGCCATGCGCTCTGCATCAGTGCTGTCAGCGAAGCTCTGTAGCTTCTCACAGCTGAAGTAATACACGGTGACCTAGTTTCAGCCACGCCGGGGCCAAAGCGAAGCCAGCACAGAGACACGGCACGGCTTTTGTTCAGCATTCCAGCAGTAATTGCACATAGCTGGCATTTTGAGGGGCCAAGAAGAACACAGTGCCAAATGTATGAAAGGCTAAATCAGTGTGAGGCAGATGAGATATCTGCGGCTGCTGTAGTCTGCCAGGCTCAGTGGGATAATTCATCCATGTTGCAATTGAGGAAACAAGGTTTCTAGGCGGTTTCGACTCAGATTAGTTCAAAGTTGATTAGATTCGGCCGAGATATGCGGATGACAGTGTCAATTATATTGCAAATGTGCAAAGAGCTTTAGTTCCAGAACATCATGTATTTATGCAGCTATTCAAACGCCGATGGGTAGGTCCAACAGACTCTCACTTCAACATTAGAAATGAGAAGCACTTGTGTTTGTTTGATCAGTGATGTCACTGTTGCCCCAGCAGACGCCCTCAGTGAGGTTTCGCTACCAGTCCTGAGTTCATCCTCAGATGGACTGGGGGAAAGAGGGGCAGATGGTGAGTGGTTTTGCCCCACGCGTGGTTGCCTGCTCTCACACACACACCAACACACACCCATTACTCACGGCAGTACAACTTGGTGTGGGTCATTTAGATCACTTTATGTCTCTCTTAGTCGCACGTTTGTATTCATACTCAATTTTTTTCTCTGTAAAGCTCTCAAAATAACTTGATCTCTTACTGTAATTCCTTGATAACAGGCTTATTATCCTATAAAGACAACGAGTCAAGTCACCTTTATACACTACAGATTGTTTCAATGCAACTTCACAGTAATACACAGGAAAATAACGTAATCAATTATCAAAATTCATTATATATGAGAGTGACTTACTAATTCTGCTGTAAAGCAGCTCTAAAAATTAGTCAGCTCAATTCAGTTCAGTGTTGATTCAGTTCAGTTTATTAACTGTGTAAAGTTCATTAATGAAATGGGTTCAATTTAGCTATAAACAGAAGATAATAGTGTCGTTATTCAGCTCAATTCAGTTTAGTGTTGATCCAGTTCAGGTCAATAACTGTACAATTCATCAATTATGAAATGGGTTCAATTCAGCTATAAGCAGCTCTACAGAAGACAGTGTTGTTATTTAACTCAATTCAGTTCAGTGTTAATAGTGTCATTATTCAGCTCAATTCAGTTTAGTGTTGATTCAGTTCAGTTCAATAACTGTGTAAAGTTCATCAATTATGAAACGAGTTCAATTCAGCTATAAGCAGCTCTAGAGAAGACAGTGTTGTTATTCAGTTTAATTCAGTTCAATTACAGTGTAAAAGGTTCAAAAACGGTTCTTCCATGGCATCAGTGCAACAAAAAACAAACATTTTGCAACCTTTATAAAGGGGCAAGCTTTATTGTAACAGAGCTGCTGAGTAAAGGATTTTACTCAATTTGTCACAACATGGTTTCTAGATGTGTTGAGGACAAATATGGATGCCTCAGCCATTTGTCCTCAACACATCTAGAAACCATTTTGTGACAAATTGAGTCATGGCTAACTGAGATGCCTGATATGACATGCCTACCTCTGTTTGTCAAAGCAATACGTCATTTTAGAGAATAAACCTGTTCAAATATCTGACTATAGATGCTTGTTGTAGAGACAAAACCATGAATCATGAAAGCGCTATGAAGAGATGCTGGATGCCTTGCAGTTCTCTGTTGGTTTTCATGCATTGGAGAAACTCAACTGGTCTGGACCCAGAGCCGTAAGCCGGGAAACCACGTTTGGAAACGGTGTCAAACCTCAGGGTTTCTCCACATGCTGGTTCAGGAAGTTTTTTGAGGTTGACCACAAATGCCTCATGTCGATCATTAATCTCCACACTGCGCTGTGTGAGGCTTTTATAAAACAAAATAGTGGTGATTACTACTGTTTAAAAGCTGATGGCAGAACTTCCCTTAGTAGAAAGCTTGATTTGATTTAATGTAAGTGGTCATGAAGATGTGTGCAGGCCTGTTCTCCTGTCCTTTTTGTGAATGACTACAGTTGCATGTGCTTTGTGTCAGTAGTTTATCCAACTCAGATTTATGTTCTCAGCTGATTGTCTTTGCATGCTTCTGTTTCCTTTCTAAAGTCAACATAAAACACTCATAATGTGACATACTTATTATGGTTAAATGTGTCTATATGAAGCAGTTTTAACCTAGTCTCGCGTAGCCAGAACTTCAGTGACGGCAGAAGGTCTGGACTCTATCGCAGCTTTCATTGGCCATGGACCGCCCTAGAGGACGTCTGACCGACATGTAACGCAACCAATCACAGGTCTTTTTGTTTTCCGCATCATGTTTAGGCGCGTGAAAATGTAAAGTTGATGTCCCAACAATAACAGACCGGTATGCATCTTATAAATTGTTCATTCAAGAACGTTGTGCAAGTTTACTGGAACAATGGAGTTGCGAACTTCACATACTTTTATATTTCAACGTTTAGTTGATCCTGGTAAGCGCTCATTGTCACAGTTGTAAACCCGATGGCTTTCTTCTCCCATGAGGGACTTTTGTGTCACGACATTTGTTTCCAGGCGGACCGATAAAAAACGCGACACACGCGTCTCCTGGACATCCTGTAGAATTCAGCCAATCAGATTGAAGACTTTGTGCCATTCAGAATTAACCTAATATTTTCTCTAAATTCCAGTTTATCTCATTAATTTGAATTGAGAAAGCAAACAGGATGCAGAATTGCAATTCAAATTTGACTGTAAGAAAAAATAATTAAATGAACTTGAAGAAAGTTGAATTTTGACTTGGAAAAAGTGTTTAAGAAGCCTTTAAGTTTACAGATATGAAATGCTATCTATATGAGTGTTTAGTTCATATTACATCATATTTAATGATTTAACTTTTCTGGACCAGGGTGAACGATTACTTAATACTTAACACTTGACACTTTCTGAATGACATAAATATACAGTTGAAAGATTAATTGAATATTTAATGTAATATATACTTTATATAATAAAATAATTTCTTATTTATTTCACACAATGTTTTAACATTTTATAAATATTTCAGCAAGGCATAGAACATGTATTATAAAAATGATAGATATCTGAATAGAAAAAAAAATAGCATCATTACTATAATCATTGATATTACACAATATTTGGTTACACTTTATTTTAGTGTCCTTATTGCAGTGTAATAATACATTTAAGTTCTGAGCAATATTAACGATGAACTACATGTACTAGAGTTAAGTTTAGGATTAGGGATAGGTTTAGGGTTAAGTTGCATGTAATTATGCATAAATTCCTATTACAAAGTCACTGTAAAATAAAGTGTTACCCACTGTTTTTACCCAGTGTAGGCTACTTACTTAATTACACCTGATAAGAATGATAATGCGTGACATCACTATTTGTGGGTGGCGATCAAGACCTAGCAGTATGCCACTGGAGGCGGCAGAGCATGTACATTTGGATGAACTCATAACTATATACAGGGTGCGATTTGTGAAAAAAAAAAACAGAGGGGGGGATGTTTTGAAAAAGTTTTATTCATAAAAAAAAATCATGAGAACATGAACTTCATCACTGCATTTGCAGGAATTGTAAAATCTTTTTTCTTATTAACTCATGAAGTAGCCTAACGCAATATTTTTACTCTAATAGCTTATATGAACTGTGATCACGCACAACGAAAAAACACGCAAGAATTAAATCCCCCTCCCAGTACCATGGATAGTGCCACTCGGCTTGACATGTCAAAACACTTATTTATGAATGGCAAAATTAAATGGCACAACGTAGTGTCAACTTAAACATAAATAGGCTATAGTGTTATGGCAAGCCGTTTTAACTTTTATCCATTTCCAGGATATGAATACTTGATATCAACAATTACATTTTCACTAGTTAAAATTATAATGATTGATATCAGGAATAATATTTCTACTAGTAACAATGGCAATTTTTGATATCAGGAATTACATTTTCACTAGTAACAATGCTAATTCTTGACATCAACATTTACATTTTCACTAGTTAAAATGATAATTCTTGATATCAACAATTGAATTGCAACTAGTAAAAACTATAATTCTTGATATCTGTAATTGTATTTTCACTAGTGAAATGTCACCATAGGCTGCCATTCAAAATCAATTCTTGATATCAAGAATTGATTTCTTACTAGTTGAAATTCCAATTTCACATATCAGAAATACAATTCTTACTAGTAAAAACGAATCGGTTACCTAACGTAACCTCGGTTCTCTCTAGAAGAGGGAACGAGTATTGCGTAAGCTAGCTTACGCTGCGGGAAAGATTCATCTTTGCTGAGATATTGAAGCCAAAAAATTATTTCATAATTTGTATCCATTGACAACGCAGTTCCTCTGCGGCAGACCTAGAGCAGGCTAGCTAGCAGCTCATTGGTTCGCTCAGAGAGAACTGCTTAAGCCTATGGGAGAGCGGGGCTGAACCCGCTTCCAATGAGAGGCGCCCGCGCGCTCATTGCGTCATGGCCCGCCAGAATGGGCGTGGCTATGGTGTATATAACAGTCTCTCCCAGGCTTATATGTTGATTTATTTCAGCGTGAAGCGAAACGCTAGTAGCGCAAGCACGGCCGGGAACGCAATACTCGTTCCCTCTTCTAGAGAGAACCGAGGTTACGTTAGGTAACCGATTCGTTCTCTTACGAGAGGTTCTCTCGTATTGCGTAAGCTAGCTTACGCTGCGGGAACACCTGGTCAACGCCGTGCGCGCTATGAATCCACTCATGAATCCCAGGGTGATACCGGGGGATTTTTAACGTGGAGTGAATGTATTATGAGGCCGGCAGAGCGGGCACATGAAGTGTATACATAAGCATCTATGAGGCCGGCAGAGCGGGCACATGAAGTGTATAAGCATTTAAGGAGAGCACAAGGGGCGAACCGGTTGTGTGAGGGACTCCCAGTAATGCAGCTTCTTAGGGAGCTGGTCGTTAGACAGCTAGTAATTTTGCCTGCAAGGCGGGAACTTCCAAGTTGTAAAATCTGACAAAAGTGGACGGGGAGGCCCATCCCGCGGCCACACAAATGTCATGAATGGAAATTCCACAGGACCATGCCCACGATGAGGCCATGCCTCTAGTGGAGTGCGCCCTGATGCCCAGAGGGCAGGGCAGGCATTTAGATGCGTAAGCAGAGGCGATAGCGTCTACTATCCATCTAGACAGTGTCTGTTTAGAGGCGGCCAGACCTTTGGTGCGCCCCCCAAACGACACGAAAAGCTGCTCAGCGCGTCTGAACGCGGCAGCGCGCGTAGTGTACAATCTCAGAGCCCGCACCGGGCAGAGGAGATTGGCGTCGCGCTCACTATCGGATGAAGGCAGAGCCGATAGGGAAATAATCTGAGCCCTGAACGGGGTACCAATCGCCTTCGGGACATAGCCATGTCTAGGTTTGAGAATGACAACAGAATCATTCGGACCAAACTGGAGACACGCGGCGCTGGATGAGAGCGCGTGAAGATCCCCCACGCGTTTTACTGAGGACAGAGCCATCAGAAAAACGGTTTTGAGCGAGAGGTATTTTAGGTCCACAGACTCGAGCGGTTCGAACGGGGGTGCTTTCATAGCTTCGAGAACTATAGAAAGATCCCAGATAGGAACCGAAGGGGGGCGCGGGGGGTTCATCCTCTTAGCTCCCCTGAGGAAGCGGATGACTAACTCGTCTTTGCCCAGGGACTGAGCGCGTCGGGGTTAGTGGCGCGAAGGACGAGGTCCGTAGCACTTCTCAGATCCGTGACAGCGGGGGAGGGGTTTCTACCGCTTTCGGCCCACTCACGGAGAATATCGCTCTGTAATACTTGGAGGACAGACATAGAATGTAGCGCTGCGGCGGCCTGACCGGCGGCGGCGTAGGCGCGAGGTCGCTCTGCAAGCTTTCGAAGGAAGCGTGGGGGAAGAGCGCCATCTAGCAGAGGGCGGGCAGAGGTGTGCGGCGACCAAGTCCTCAACGGGCGGCATGGCTGAGTAACCTTTTTCGGCGGCTCCGTCCACCGAGCGCAGCGAGGCGGATATATCGGAGCGGTTTCTAGCCGAGAGCGGGGCATTCCAGGACTTCGTCAGCTCTGCGTGAAGTTCAGGCAGGAATGGGGCGGCCCGGTTGCACGCGGGGGTCGAGCGCCGATGAAAAAAGCTGCCGTCCATCCGGTTCGGGGCCTGCTCGGGTGGAGGAGACCACTCGAGACCGAGGCGTTCGACGGCCTGTGAGAGGAGGCGCATTAGTTCCTCCTCTATCCCGGCGCGGATCCCCGCCGACTCTCTCGTGGATCCGAGAGATGACCATTCTTCACTGTCTGATGCGAGCAGTGAACAGGAGTCCTTCTCCTCCGCGGCGTCATCGGAAGCGACAGAGCGGCCACTCGGCGGCAACTGTATGTCCGGCAGGGGCGGGGAGGGACAGTTTCAGAAGCGGGAAGCGGCGGCGGCGGCCCGCATGGTTCCGCAGGGGGCTCCGGCGGCCTCTGGGAGCGGCATTTCTTCTTACGCGGCGAAGAGGGAGCGGATTTTGCTGCCAGAAGTCGTGCCCGCAGGGACGACAATGGCAGGCTCTCACAGAAGTCGCATCCTCCATCCGCGAGGGCGAGTTCTGCGTGCTCGAGTCCCAGGCAGAGAGCGCAGATGACATGGCGGTCTCCGTCCTCGAGACGAGCGCGGCAAGAGCCGCAGGAAAAACGAGACATCTTTAAAAAGACGCTCGGCTCTTTTAGATATAAATAGAGAAAAGAGAAGGATACAGTCGTCGGATGGCGCTAGCTTGCAGGGCGGCTGAAGGTGGCGAAGACTGCCGGCTTCTTCAGGGTCCGGGAGCTCGCTAGAGTGATGCCTTCTCGACGGCGACGGCTTTTCTCAGGACAGCAGAAGCGTGCAGCTTGCTGAAGATGAAATGAATCAACATATAAGCCTGGGAGAGACTGTTATATACACCATAGCCACGCCCATTCTGGCGGGCCATGACGCAATGAGCGCGCGGGCGCCTCTCATTGGATGCGGGTTCAGCCCCGCTCTCCCATAGGCTTAAGCAGTTCTCTCTGAGCGAACCAATGAGCTGCTAGCTAGCCTGCTCTAGGTCTGCCGCAGAGGAACTGCGTTGTCAATGGATACAAATTATGAAATAATTTTTTGGCTTCAATATCTCAGCAAAGATGAATCTTTCCCGCAGCGTAAGCTAGCTTACGCAATACGAGAGAACCTCTCGTAAGAGAACCTTTATTTTTGATATCAAGAATTAAATTGTCACTAGTTGAAATGTCTATTCTTGATATCAACAATTGAATTGCTACTAGTAACAATGTTCATTTTTGACACAATAATTCAATTTTCACTAGTGACAATGTTAATTTCTGATATCATGAATGTGATTGTTACTAGTAAGAAAGCCATTTTAGATATCTGAAATAATATTGATATCAGAAATACATTTTCAGATATCAAAAATGAAATTTTTTACTAGTAGCAATTCAGTTGTTGATATCAAGAATAGACATTTAGACTAGTGATAATTTAATTATTGATATCAGGAATTCGCATTTTTACTAGTAACAATGTAATTATTGATATCAAAAATTATATTTCTACTAGTAGGAAATCAATTCTTGATATCAACAACTGATTTTGAATGGCAGTCTATGGTGACATTTCACTAGTGAAAATATAATTGTTGATATCAAAAATGTAATTGTTGATATCAAAAATGTAATTGTTGATATCAAGTATTCATATCCTGGAAATGAATAAAAGTTAAAACGTCTTGCCATAATAGTGTAGGCCTTTGCATCATACTAGGAAAACAGTCTTTTTCTGCTTTCCTGTGGGAAAATCCGCAGCTTTCCAGTGGGTGGTCCATTTCGGATTTTATTGCTCTATCGCACTGACAGTTCACATTACAGCGCTTTACTTAGTTTAGGCTAGGCTACTTCTATCAGTCTGCTGAACCATGGATTGATTGCAAAGTTAAACCATCACAGTAGAAACAGTTGTGCTGCTGTTAAAGTAACAACGTTAACGTTACATCGCGATGCTGAGCTACAGTGAAATGAATGATGGAAAAGACAGATGCATTATCTGTGTCAATTCGCGTCTACCGCACCGCGCTAAACGCCTCCGACACACAGCTCCACTGCCCATTCTCGCAAGTGTTGATAGGCTATTACTCGTGAGGAGTAACCAATCAGATAGCGCCGTGGGCGGGACATTGCGCAAGTCTGCAGAGAGGTGATTACAGAGAGGCTGCGGCCGCTATACCAGAGCCAGCCGAAGGAGTGCATTTTAAAAATAAAATTGCCTTTTAATCAAACCACGGACCCGTGATAAGTTTTGTGATCCGTCTAGCCACTAGTGTAGTAGCACTGATCACTTTTAGGGGGGGATAAAAATAATTAAGCAGAGGCAGGGATACTTTGACCAGAAAGGGGGAAATCCCTCACATCCCCCCTGGCAAATCGCACCCTGAGGTCTATATATATATATATATTTTTTTTTTAATTTGCTTGTGTATAATGTGCACTGATGAATAAGAACAGATTGATTGGGTTAAATTGGATTTCGTGTTGACTTTGCTTTAACTAACTCAAGCACACTAATACTGTCCATTTGTGATGTTCTCTTACACTCGCTCTCGCCCTCATCATGTCTGGGTCTCTCTGTATCTCCAGACCCTTCCCGCTCTGGCTCGACTGCAGGCTCTCCGCAGGGGGAACGCGCGCCTCCTAGTGGAGAACAAAGCCATGCTGCGCACCCTCGCCCGCCTCTCTCAGACGGCCTCTCTCCCCGAGACGGAGGATCTCTAGTCCTCTGCTCGCTTCTCTGTCCCTTCCTCCCTCCTGTTGTCCGCTGCACCCTGTAGTCCTCTTCCTCTGCCCCTCTGATGCACACCTCTCAGGCAGGTCTCGCTCTTTCATTTGTTTCTTTTGCATTGGTTAAGCTTTTCCGTCCATTCTTTCTTTCTCGCTCTTTCTCTCCTGGGTCTGGGGAAGGGCAGCCCTTCACATTCCTCCTGCAGGCGATGGCTTTGAAGATATTTATAGATCTTCCAAAACCCATGACCAAACGCCTCTACACTCCAGCAATGTCCAAATCAATTCACAGCCGCTGTAGCTTCACATTCACAGTCTCTGTGGACACATAAACTCACTGGTTACAGAATATTGGATAACAATATTACACACAGTTAGTAAAAAAGTCAATCAAATCATTTTAAAAATGACACAAAATTACACAAACAAAATTATGATAGAATGATTAACTACCCAAAAAACCAAAAGAATAATAGAATAATAATTTGTCTGACAATAACTTTGGTAACAGGTTTGAATAAATGAGCTTGATGAATGCTGTCATTTCCTGGGTGTCACAATTTTATGAAATGTTCTATATTGTTTATTGGACGGAAATCTGATTTCAGGGAGCATGCAAAAATATGAGTTAATTATTATCAAAAAATATTATGTTTTTCATGAATATAATAAATTAAGTAATTGTAAAATTATCTGGTGTATCTAAAAGTTTTCTTTCTAAAAAAACATGGGATTTGTTCCTTTATTGCTTAAAGCCAGCATAAACAAGAAAAAATGTAGGGCGGGGCTTGATTTTCTCCATGGGGAATTGATTAAATGGTAGTGGTTTGCTATTGGTGGATCTCCTGTGAGTGACGGGTTGCCCCGCCCTCACGCCAGTAAACACATCATCAGAGAAGAGAAGAGATGCTGAAAGAGGGATGGGAAGTTACTTTGATTAAAGATTACAATGAGACATGAATATTAAACAAAATTAAATAATGATGCGCACTGATAAATAATTTATAATAAACACTGCAAGATGTCTTTTTTTTTCTTTTTGATTTCATGGTGACTTTAAAAACCTAGCAGGACATCAAATTGTATCCTATTCATGCTAAATGCCAGTACTGTCCACAGTGCTATGAGCCTCTATTTGTGTGCTGGCTATTTCTAAAAGTGAGTTAGCACAATTTTTTTTTTTTTCGATAGTTGAAATGTTGTTTTGTTTTGAAAAATGTGATATGAAGGCATGAGTGGCTGGGTTTGCTCTCCCATTAAAGTGTGTGTAGTTCTGCCACTATTTTACTCACTGCAGTAGGAGAAGGGTCTCCCTTCTTTATGCATGCATGCACACACAATCACATGGCCGTGCTAACTGCCATTCCTTTATAAAGGCCAATTTGAAAATCATAATTTGTGGTGTTATGAACTAGCTTCCGTTGCATGTTTGATTACTTGAATCATGTTTGAGTAATGAATCATGCTTTTTACACATAAAACGAAATATAGTCACATGAGATCATGAGATATGAGTAGTCTGCAAGAACTATTTTATTCATCATAAAGTGTATCCCTATCTCATGGGCTTCGCAATTTTGATTTCACATGAACACTTAATAGTTCTGAAGTTAATAATCGAAAGCGTTCATCTCTCTCAATCTCGTCTCTTCATCAATCTCAGGTTTTGACAGAACTCAAGTCTGATAACCAGCGGCTGAAAGATGAGAACGGAGCCTTAATCAGAGTCATCAGTAAACTTTCCAAGTGAAGACGACCGGTTGAAGAAGGAGGAGAAACGCTGAACAGAGAGAGACCAAATCTGAGAACTTCACACTGAATTCAACCTGACCATTGTCTGGGTAATGGTTTGTGTCATCTCTTACTCTTGGTGCAGCAGCTCCAAGGTTAAAAGGGAGAATTCACCCAACAATGAAAATTCTGTCATCATTTACTCACCCTCGTGTTGTTCCCAACCTGTGTGACTTCCTATCATCTGTGGAACATAACAGTAAATGTTTTGAGGAATGTCTCAAAAGAAAGAAAGTAACCACCTGCTTACAAAATACAGCTAAAACCTGCTTAAGATGGTAGCTGGATTTACATGTGAAGAGTTTGGTTCCAAAACGCAATAAATCCATTTAGATTAATTTGAGTAAAAATGTGTTTGCTCTACCAAGAAAGTGGAAAGATGAAAACCACTATTTTCTGTTTCAAACTTTCACATAGCATTTGTAGGTCATAATAAAATAAAAAAATAAAAAAAAAATCCAGGTTTTGATTTTCAAAGATTTATTATAAAAACGGATTATTTTTTCCCCCAAAATGCAATAAATCCATTTAAAAAAAATAATAATCAAAATGCAATTAATCCATTGAATCAATATAAAAGTTTTTTTTTTCATACTGAAACTGTTGAAAATACACAACAACGTAAGTTTATTAGTATAATATTTTTATTAAGAACTGTAAAGAAGATTGAAAAATTGTTTCCTCCTCCCGAGTGCCTCATCTTCTTAATCTCCTCACGTAAATGATTCGATTTCGATGCCTTATTTTTCGTACCCACCGCAGAAACAACCACAGGTTCATCAATCCCGTCAAAATTATTCATTTTTTTGTTTGTTTGTTGATCGAAAAGTACAAAATAGATAAGAAAAACAAGGAAGCCGGGTGTATTTAAGGCGCTGCCGTTACTGTTTACATTGTGTGGAATGGTGCGTTGTGATTGGTTGAGAGCGGATATATCGCATTCTCAGTGTTGGGGAGTAACTGAATACATGTACCGGCGTTACGTATTCAGAATACAAATTATGAGTAACTGTATTCCGTTACAGTTACAATTTAAATAGTTGGTATTTAGAATACAGTTACATTGTTGAAATCAATGGATTACACGGGTGGCAGTGGCTCAGTGGTTCATGTGGGTTCTCTACAAACCGGAAGGTTGGTGGTTCAATCCTCGGTTCCACCTGACCAAGTGTCGAGGTGTCCATGAGCAAGACACCTAACCCCAGCTGCTCCCGACGAGCTGGATGGCGCCTTGCATGGCTGCCGTCGCCCGTCGGTGTATGAATGAGTGAGTGAATGGGTGAATGTGAGGCAAATTGTAAAGCGCTTTGGTGGCCATTGGGTCTGTGAAAGCGCTATATAAATGCAGTCCATTTACCATTTACATGACGATACTTCTCTGTTTCACGAGTTTATTCAATCTCTAAATAAATTAAGGCAACTCAAAATTTCCCAGAAGCCCCAATATGAAAACGAAAAAAATGCGCGGTTTGCGTGCGTGATCAGTCAATGGATTTGGAAGAGGTGCAGCGGGAGCTAGAGATGGAGCCGGAACAACAGCAGAGCTAGAATGCATTTATATCTTGGAAATTTAAACAGTATTTTACGGTAAAGAAAGAGAAGGGAGGGGGACGAAATATAACTGTGCAGTGCAACCTCTGCTTGCCAGCAACTAACCTCCTTTCAGCGTCCAAAGACTCCATCTCCAACCTGAAGAAGCATCTTAAAGTAATTTTTTTTACATTTTTTTTTTATTAACGTTAGTCGTCTGCTGTAGTTTTACTGGCCACCTTGCTATTTTATAGTTATATATCCGGTAGCTACCTGCTTAGTTGACGTGCGACTGATTTACTAGCCCCCGAGCCGTTGAAAGACTGACTAGCCCCATTTGACATTAACGTTAGGGTGACCATACGTCCTCTTTTTACCGGACATGTCTTCTTTTTGGACCTAAATAAATGCGTCCGGCCGCCCATTTCTAGATCACCCAAAATGTCGGGGATTCGGCTTTTGCTTTCTACAGTCGCCATTCATTATGTTTATGCACAACTTTTGTTTCAATCGGACTGAATTCATTCAGATTGATGAAACTGAATGTAGTGTTTACATGAATGCTAAACAAGTGATTGCCGTTTTGATAGCGACCTAGAAGCCTACATAAGGAAAGTAGACTTATACAAGAGAACATCAGAAGCACTGAAATCTTTTTTTTTTAGGGTTAGGGTTAGAATACCATAGTAGAAAACCCATAGTGTTTTTCTGTAAAAAAAAATAAAAAAAAAATTCTTTTAACCAATGGCCAAGAAAAGAAACTGTGTCATGTAAAAGGTGTTAAAAGCTAAACTCTTTTTAATTATTATTATTTGTTTGTCATTATTCTATTGTTGCAGGCAAAAAGTTGAATGGAAATTATGTATTACTTGTGGAAGTAATCCAAGTATTCAGAATACAATACTTAGATTAAGTAATGTAACGGAATATGTTACAAATTACATTTTTGGGCATATATTCTGTAACGAACTACATTTTGAAAGTATCCTTCCCAACACTGCGCATTCTGCAAAGAAGGGAGACTGGCGTTTGTCGCGGTTTGGAAAGAAAGGGAGAAAACATGACAGAATAACACGGCGGATATCGCATTTTTACTTATAATTAAACATTGACTTTTCAATACCAACCAGATACAATACTGATTTTTGCAGTAACAAATTTTTTTTTTATGGCGTTTATCGCGTTTTGGAACCAAACTCTTCATGTATTCTGGCTTAAACTGGTTGAGGTGGTTGACCAGCTAGACTACTTGCTAGTGGATCTCTTAAAGGCCTCAATATACTCAAAGCAGAGTTCTTTTTCGTTCTTCGCTTAGGGGTAAATACAAGTTTGAAATACCTTTGTAGCAGGATCCTGTTAGCGAACATCCTGACGTCAAACTACCAGTGGTAGTTCAAAGTTGTTTACCACCCGAGGCAAACTTTTCTGGAAAGTTCACTTTGGCAAGCTCTTTCAAACTCCCAAAATGAACTCCAAACAAACTTTGCTTTGGCCTGGTTTTGTTCGCAATTACGTCACACCAGTTGAAGTATATCGAGGCCTTAATTGACCTGGTTAGAGCTAATAATCCATTTTTGCTGGTGAGGACCTGGTTGGTTAACAATGTTCCAAAACACAACTTAAACTAGTTAACTGGTTTCACCACCTAAAGCTGGGTTGACCTGGTGTTTGCAGTACGATTCTCAAATAACACTGTAGCCACAGCATTGGTTCCTAAAAACTCCCTCAAAAACCTCCAATGAACTGAATGTTATCTCACTGCCCTTTCTAAACTCTAAATGTTTCAAGATCAGTGTACAAAGTGGTAAAATCCATCCTGAAAAAAGGACACCAGGTTCGACCTAAGTCAGGTGCGTAGGGGGAAAATCTACGACAGCATCTATGGCTCCATTAAGAACCTTTTTCTTGATAGTGGAAAAAAAGGTTCTTTAGATTATTGAAGTCATGCTGAAACGGAAGTAGCAGCAGATCTTTTCTTCCATATTGTGACAGAAGAGGAAATGTGGGATTGGTTGTTGATTGGATTTTGAGATGTGGGCTTTGCACTCATCAGTGAAGGAAGATGAACGTGAGCTTGCAGGGGTGGGATTTAAGCAGACCTAATAATTGTAGAAGTTAGTGTTGTCAA